AACCAAAAACCAGTCACTGCCTTCAAGTTGATGATGACTCACAGAAACCCTATAGGACAGAGTAAAACTACCCCAGTGAGCTTTCAAGCCTATAAGTCCCATCTTTCTCCCTTGGGGGCAGCTGGTGGTTTCGAACGGCTGACCTTGCAGTTAGCAGCCCAACATGTAACCACTATACCACCAAGACTCCTCAGAAGGCCTGTAGAGAGTATTAATGAGTAGCAATTAACTCGATGGTAGGGGGGTTACTTTCTTTGTATGAATATCTGTTGAAAAACAGGGATGGGTGTACACAGGAGATGGGATGTGTAATAGGATGTAGAGTAATTTTCCACTCAAGAATTGATTGGTGATATGGGCTTCAATAACACTGAATCAACACATCTCCCCTACTTAGCTGTACCTGTGATTTATTGGGTCTGACTGCCCTTAACAGTGACCCTCTTTTTGCACCTGGTAAAAGATGCCTGGTCTCCAGTGACCTCTGCCAGTGACAGATTTTAGCAGAACAGACACTGATGCAGAATCCTTGATGGATACCCCAATGGTGGCCTGCAAGTGGCTCTGAGAAAGCAACGGTGTTAATGTGACATTGTAATTTATTGGCAGTTTTGTTTGATAGCATATTTACTGAAACAAGTGCTGCCCAGGAAGATCAGGTTACAGCAGGGACACATGATTTCCCAACTAGCCGTAAACTATATATCAAACGTCTATTCTGTCCAGTGTCAGCCACCTCCACCCTCTCCTTGTCCCTGGTCCTCAGACAAATTGAAGCACATGCCACGATTTGCAGGAGGAAAATCAAACTCAATTTCGCAGTACAATGAAGTGAGTTTTGGTCTTGTCATGTCCACTGACATATTGATCCCCGGAAGATTGAGAAGATCAGAATGCTCTGGGTTTTTGCTTTTGTAAATATGAATGCATAGAAATGCAATCATGCCTGAATGGAGGAGAACAGACCACTTATGCAGCTTTACAAAGATGGAGAAGCTCCAGGGGCCTAATGTTATAAAACAGTGTGACAATATAAAAGTCATTATTTAAGAGGTCATATTTTCTTTCCCTTCAGAATTACAGCCCCGGAAGACAAATGGTCTTCTAACACAGGTTCATTTAAAGTGCAGCCAATCATTTCAACAGCTGAAAGGAATTTTCACTGGTGAAGGTGGGGCTAGGGGTGAGAGGGCCAGGCGATGTGGACCACCACCAACCCCATCTTGGTGCTTTGTACAATTTATGTCAGACGTGTGTGCAATAAGCCCAACGCTCCATTCAACATTCTCTATTTAACCTGAAAGGGGACTTAGCTAATCATTTTTATGTCCCTGTGTGTGATTTGCAAAGCACCGTGGTTACAGCTTCCACAAAATGGATAAAGACTCCCCAGTCACATCTCCAGATGAAGCACTTAGAAATGGGACCACTATATCCCAGGGTGATGCTGAAACTGTAAGAAATATCATCAAATACTTTTGAGTCTAGTAAGGTAAATTTCTAACTCAGTAGAGGGAAAGAAACCACAGATGTCTGTTCAGGTAGGCAGACAGTCTGTCATTATGACCAGAGAATGCCTTTCTAATGTACACTTCCTATAGAAATATTGCAAAATGCCCTGTGATTCTGTGGAAATTGTTACTGCGCAATATGTGTTGCCCTTGTTAGTCTGTGTGTGCTGCCGTTGGGTTGGGCCCTCAGTCCTGGTGGCCCTGTGCACAGAGAAAAACATGCTGCCTGGTCCTGTGACATCCACTTGATAGAGACTGGATTGGACCATTGTGATTCGTAGGGTTTCCATTAACTGAAATTTGGAAGCAGATTACCAGGCCTTTCTTCCTAGTCTGTCTTAGTCTAGGACCTCCACTGAAATCTGTTCAACTTCATAGTAACAATCTGGCTTCTGCAGAGAGGTGGGTGGTGGCTATAGGTGAGGTGCTGGTTGAGAAGTCTATGTCTCAATTACCGCGGTCCCATTGGGCTGTCCTACCCCACATCTGCAGCTGAAGCAAGCATGCCTTATTGGGAGGGAAACTGAGGTACAGACTGATGATGCTGGAAAACCGCAGACAGGAATATGAATGGGAAAAGAACTCCTTTACTGAACTCCAATTTCAAAGCTTTCAAAGCACAAGTAACTTCTCATTTGGCATGATTTTTAAAAATTAGAGCAATGCCTCCCATTACCATATTCCAAAGTAATTACTTGTGGTAAGTAAAGATAAATCCATTACTAATTACACAGTCCTTTATTGTGAAATTCAGAGTAAAATGATTTGAGGTATTTTTTTTTAAGCCGACAAGAGAATGACTTACCTTCATCAATCAGTTTGACTCAAGTAATGATTTTCTTAGAATTAAAATTTGTTGAAAGCTTTAAGTATTTCATCTTTTAGGCTAAGAAGCATGTAGTTAATGTCACAGCTAATACATTTGTCAGTCTGCTAATTTTCTTTTTCTATTAGAATAAGTAAACATCAACCCTTTCTTAAAAGCATACTATTTACCATGTGTCAGGAGTAATACAGGGAGAACTTATTTGAAAAATCATGAGGGAAGACATTATAGAGTGAACAAGAGTCACAGGGAAACAATGAAAGTGCAGCTTGGGGGGGGGGCATTTAGTAACTGCAGCGGACAGATGGTGGGCTGGGTCTCAAGTTGAGTCAGAGACGGTGCTGTTTAAAGGGGAGCATGCAAAAATCAGAAGATCAAGTTGAACACTCAAGCCTGAGAAGAATGGGAAATAAGGAAATTAGAAATGGCGTGTAAGGCACAGTATAAAGGGCAATCGACTAATAGTAAGACAAAAAGGAGGCCTCATAAATATAGAGTGGAAACGAAAGAAAATGAGCTCTGGTCTTTGTGAAATGGGATCAAATAATGGTTCTTCAGAATGACCTGTTACTTTGACAGTCCAGCTGCAGAGAGACCGTGTCACCAACGAGACTCCTGGGCTCCCTTCGAACAGCACCATCCACCTTTCTGCTAGCTGTGCCTGATCTTCATTAAGCCAGCCTTGAAATGATTTCATCCAGAGGACTATAGTAAACAGGCATGTCTGTGGCCAGCCATGACTTCAAAAATTAAGGGTTTTTTTTCTTCCTCTTTTTCTTTTCCGGCTCCATTTGTTGTCATAGAGCTTCAAAATAGGAGCTGTTGTTCCAAAGTTCATGATCCAAATTAGACATCACCCACCTCGACAGTAAAAAATTCATATAAAATAGCTTTCAGCCTTCAGTCCTCGCCTTTTGTCTCAGTCTGATATAGCCAAACACACCTTTACTTCCAGGCGGAGAAGAGTTAGCATTGTAAATTTCTACAGCTCTTTAGTTTTTTATATTAGAAAATTGGTGTGTGTGTGTGTGTGTGTGTTTAATATAGATTACTCAAAGCTCTTACCCTACCCCTGAAGTCTACTGGTGCTGCGGGGTACACATTGTGCTGTTAACGACAAGATCAGCAGTTTGGACCCACCAGCCACTCCATGGGAGAAAGTTGAGGCTTTCTGTGCCCATATAAGATTTACAATTTTGGAAACCCAAAGCAACAATTCTATTCTGCCCTATAGGGTCGCTAAGAGTTGGAGTTAACTCAATGGCAGTGGAGTGGAAACATTTAAAGTATGTGCTCAGTGCAGAATTGTTTAACATGTTTTCTTTTTACCAAATTTTGAATAACAATTAAAAGGGGTGTCTGTGTGTGTGTGTGTGCGTGTGCATGTATGTTTAAACATCTTGGTTTCTGTCAGCAGATAAGTTAGCCATAACTTAGAGGTCTCTATGAGTTGCTGAAATTTTGAGAAATGATTTCTGAAATACAAATATGCAAACTACACTCACTGCCACTGGATTGATTGTAACTCACAGTGACCTTGCACAGGGGCTCTGGGACTCTCAATCTTGCAGGAACAGATAGCCTCACCTCTCGCCTGTGAACTAGCTGGTGGATTTGAACTGCTGACCTTGCAGTTAGCAGCACAATGTCTGCCTTACCTCTCTGCCAGGGCTCCTTTTCAGACGTCCAAAAGAGTGGGGATGGTGCATCTCTCACCAGATCCATAGACTTAAATTGCTGCTGTTGCGAGCTGCCATCCTGTCTGACCCCCACTCATGACAAACCTAAGCACGATGGGATGAATTTCTCCCCTTTGTTATCCATTGAGTTTTCTTTTCTTTTTTTTAAATCATTTTATTGGGGGCTTGTACAACTCTGATCACAATCCATCCATCTATCCATTGTGTCAAGCAATTTGTACATTTGTTGCCATCGTCATTCTCAAAACATTTTCTTTCTACTTGAGCCCTTGGTATCAGCTCCTTGTTTTTTCCCCTTTCCTCCCCCATTGAATTTTCTTTGACTGGTTTTGGAAAATGGATTTTCAGACCTTGATCCTAGTTTGTTTCAGTCTGTAAGTTCTGCTGAAACCAGTTGAGACACCAGACAAGCCTTTCTGGACAAGTGGGTGGTACCTTGAGGTACACCGGCAAGGCATCAAAGCCTACTCTCCATTAAGCTGGGTCAGGGTGGGTGATTTAAACCCCTCAGCGGGGCCAAGGGAGAACAAGGGGGCTGTCTGCTCCATAAAAAAGCAACCTTGGACAGCGGCGTACAGTGCTATGATTGGAATGACTCGACAGTGGATTTGGTTGGGTTTGGCATTAAAGATCAAGATGGGCTTCCGGTGGATGGGAAGGGCCAGCTCCTGGGGCATGCCATCATGACTGTGCTGAGCCTGCGTGTCAGGGAGCCTAAATTCTACCCAGGTCCCATTTGTACTGCCTTCCAGGAGTAACACACAACCTTTCAAGGAAATGAAAGGTTCCCATTGCTAGTCATCTACAGGTTAGACACTTAGAACTGCCCTTGAGCACTGGAAACCAACATGGACTCATTGACCATGAAGTTAATGTTGGAAAGACACCGGACCATAGTCACCTCAAGCACCCGATGTACCAATAGTCACACCAACTTCAAATGGGAACAAATGGGCACATTACCTGGCTGAGACAAAAGCGGCGTGTAAGGGACTTTCGGTTCTATTGCACTCATGGGTGGAGGTAGCAAAGGGTTGGCAAAGCTGCGAAGTGGATGAGTTGGTCGAACACAGGCCGTGGGGATGGTCCGGCTTGGGGCCTCTTCACTGCTGGGAGGCTCAGGTTGCGTCGGGGCCAGGATGGGTGGCTGCTGTGTTTGTGGGCCTTCACTTACCGCTGCAATGGGGAGAAGGTAAGACAAGCATTATTCCCGAACAAAGCTTGTTTCCCCCGAAAGCTTTTGGAAGCCCCTGGGATGCTTTTGTAGAGAGATGTGAGGGTCTGGTCAATGTCTATATCAAATCACGAGCACCTTTCTTCATGTCTCCTCATCTGCTTATGGGACCCAATAGTATCTTCCTTTTAAACAGAAGAAGTAGATGTCGCCGGACAGGGCTTTATCTTTCAAGAAGAAAAGTAAAAGATATTCAGCATCGACTGTATTCCCTGAATTGCCTGGGCTGTGTAATCATGAGTGATGAAGCCAGGAAAAAAAAGAGAGATTTCTCCTTTCATAAGTAGCTATGTCAGTGAAATTCAATGTACCCAGCCGGTTACAGCTGCATTATTATCCACCAGCCAATATGCCAATTTTTCTGTGATTTAAACATGCCATGTCAACTGTCACACAATCAGTTACCAGGTGCTCAGAGGCTTTGCTAATAAAATGATATAAATAATAACCACTATCATTATCTCCCATAACACAATCAAGGTGCAGCTAGGCAAAAAGTTATAGGAAAGATGCGTCTGCTGGAACAACTTGTCTGAGAGCAGAATTGAAATTTTCCCTCTTGGATGACAAACCTTGTAGTTTTCTGTTGGATTCTTACAGTTGAAGAGGCGTTTCACATCGTCATTCGTCATAGCCCATGGGCATGTGGACTGGGTTGTTTCTGGAAACACACCTTGTCTCCAGAGGACACAATGAGTCACACTGAAATATTGCCTAGGAAGTTTCCCATGATTAAGGGCACTGTGGACTAAGAACTCAACGTGAACCTTCTATTCATCGTCTAGGTCAACAGGTTGGGGTTATATGACAAATGAAAAAAACCCAAAACTGTGTAGTAGATATAAGGGTTAATGAGGTAGGAAGAGTGTGTCTGACTATTTCTTTCTTAATAAAGTTCTTTTGGGTGTATTGAAAGGGAAAAACGTGATAAAAGAGAATATCTCACTTTTCAAGGAGAATTTTCTACCAGGAAATACTTCAAGATAATTAGTTTGTAAGATAATTGTGAGACAGCTCTCAGGGCTGCAAAGGGCAGAGGAGCCACAAAGCAAATCTGACAGAACTAGGGAGAATCGTGATTAAAGATCTAAAGATGAAGACAATCTGAAAGAAATGCAAAAGTAAAATGTGCTACACAGGGGGTTTGATATTAAAACGCAGTGTTCTGCATTCAGAAGAATTTAGAGGTCACATGGGCCAGTGGCCAACCACTAAGCTCACCGCATTCAATGATGGGGGAAGGAAGGTATAGGACAGGTTAATAACTGACCAGACTACATAGAAAAAGAACCAGAAAGCAGACAGAGACTTGGTGACAGCTCTCGTCACACAAAAGAAATGTAATCAAGATGGCAAAAGGAGGAAACCAGCACGACAAAAGGAGGGTGACCACAAGCACCTACTTTATCTGTAGCTCAGAAACTCTGATCAAAAGAAAAGGGGAGAGTGATAAGACATGCAGCATCTTAAAGTGAAAGTCCAGGGCTGCAAGGAAAATATTGAGACAAACGGGTGATGACACGTCTTCTCACAAAAAGGTTAAAGGGGTTGGGGTGGGGCGGTGGAGGAAGTGTTACACGAGACTAAATTGTTTATTGAAAATGTGTCGGTGCACAATGGGTGCATAAGCAAACGTGGTGAAGAAAGATGATGGTGCCCGGCTATCAAAAGGTAGAGCTGCTGAGGTCTTCAAGGTTTAAAGTTAAACAAGCCACATGGAAAGGCACATCAGCCCGTGGGAGCATGAGGTGTCCACGGGATCAGGGAACAGGCATCAGAAGACCCTGGGGTGCAGTATAGCACTGATGAGGCACACAATATCCCTCTGGTTCTTTGAGGCTTCCTCACCCCCTACTATCATGACCCCAGTTCTGCCTTTCAGTTCTGGCTAGACTGGAGCATGTACACTGGTACGGACCCATGTCAGAAAAACCCCTCAGGTACGGAAAAGGGAATATAGATACCAAGAGGTTACAGGGAAGGGGGGAGGAGGAGGGGAGGAAGGAGGAATGCATCACAAGGATAGACACATAACACACACACACACACACACACACACGCTGGCCAAAGAAACATGGGTGAAGGGAGACAGTGGTCAGTGTAAGTAAGATATGGAAACAATAATAATTTATCATTTATCAAGGGTCACGAGGCAGAGGTAGCGGGTAGGGAGTGAGGAGGAGCTGATACCAAAGGCTAAAATAAAAAGTAAATGTTTAGAAAAAATGTACATATATGTACAAATATGCTTGATACAATTGATGTGTGGATTGTTTCAAGAGCTGTAATAGCCCCCAACAAAAATGATCTTTAAAAACAAAAAAATTAAAAAATAAAAAATAAAATGTGTCTGTGAAAGGAATACACATTGTACTTATATTCAGTCACGATTGTGGAATCAGATGGTGGCGAGCCCATCTTTAGAGATCAAGAAAATTATGTAGGTTTAATCTGGACTCTTGAGGAGCCCTCATGGCTCAGTGGTTATGCACTGGTCTGCGATCATCAATGTCGGCTGTTTGAAACCACCAGCTGCTCTGAGGGGTAAAGACTGGGCTTTCTCCTCCTGTGAACACTTCCCATCTTGGAAACCATCAAGGGCAGTGCCACCCTCTTCTGTAGGGTCACTCTGGGTTGGCATCAACTTGATGAGAGTGAATTTAATCGAGGCTCTTCTCTAGTCAAAAGGAGAAAATGACCAGTGGTCAACGGTCCAAAGAAAGATTGATTGTTTAGTCCACATTCAACGAAGGACATCGTTGTAGGACCATCATTGAGAGTCGCTGCCCAAGTTCAGCTCTCACGCCGCATTCCTAGAAGAGGTCGACTTCGATCCACTCCCCAGGTCCCATGGGTCTCTTGTGAAGTGTTGGATTGTAAGATTATTTTAGGAGAAAAAAATAGGCCCTGGGTAATCCTTGAGATGGAGAAAAGTATTCCTCCCAATGTTTTATAGTCTCATCAGGAAAAATGATGGAATTTATAATGCTTTGGATTCAACTTGATCAAAGCTGTTTCTATCCCTCATAGACTGTGTTATAAATGAAATATCTCTTGGGTCTAGAACCCGTGTCTGAATTCCAGTTCATTTCCACATGAGCCATATTTTACTAACGGGCTTTTATCATCCTATTAAAAATGTTTCTAAGCATAAGAAATGTCACATCTGTCTTAGGCAATTCTCTCTGTTGAAGAGAGATCATAATTAATTCACATATTTGACTAAAGAAACTTGTGACTTCCTGTGAATTCCAATAACACACTTTTTTTAAAAAAAATTCCCATTCCTGCTCTCCTTGATGTGTTTTTTTCTCTCATCTGCATCTTTGCAATAGTAAAGCTTCTCCTAATTTCAGTCCTTTGTCACTGGGTTTTCAGGCACCTTCTATCACTTCTACAAGGAATGGTTCTTGATTTTGAGACGTTATAGGGGTTTGGCACGGAGGCCCAGGGTGACACAGTGAACTGGCTAGTAACTGACAGGTTGGTGGTTTGAATTCACCCAGAGACCTTTGAAAGACAGCTCTGAGAATCTCCTTTAAGAATGGTTGTGGTAGTTACTTAATCTATGGTCATTTTGAGACTTAAGAGTGAAGGGGTGGAGTCTAGCCTGTCAATCAGGTTGCAGCTTGACGACCTCATTTGGAGGTGCTAGGAAGATAAATAGCTCGTTGGAGACAGGACACACACACACACACTCCCTGTGAGGCATTTCTGCAGAACAGCCACATGGAGCTACACTAGAGCTCTGGAGCTGAAGAAGCCACGTAGAGACCTGCCAGCATTGAGATGCTTCCACTGCCACAGGATCCAAAAGGTGGAAACCTGCTGGCCTGTGATCTTCCTGCATTCTGTGTCATTGCATGTATTGTGTGAGTCTGAAGAGGAATTTATAGATTGGTATCCGACATCTGGGCTAATATTGGACTTATGAACTTGATCAAGACTGGGCTGGGATGTTTCTCAATATACAATGAAAATTAAAAAAAACAACTCTTTCTTGCACATGTATGACTATCTATGAATTTGTTTCTCTAGTCAATCTGGCCTAACAATGAATTTTTCTCTAGGATCATAGTTACTGGATACCTTATGGAGACAGTTCTACTTTGAAACATGTGGCATTGCCATGAGTCAGAGCTACCTTGATGGCAACCGGTATGGTAGTTTGAAACAGATTGACCTCTCTTCAGGAAAATTCATTCTTAGGACCACATATGTGCAAAGATAGATGTCCAAATGTGTTCAGTAGGGACAGGAAGCCCATCCTTGCGTCTGAGTGTATCATGACAGATTACTTTTACTTTGTCCAAAATAACCATTGTATTTAATACCTACTACAGTTAACAAATATATAGTTTCCATAGACAAACCACAATTCTTATATTGTAAGCAGCGTAGAAGAAATGCTCTCAGAATCACTGACATTTAGGGACCTGGAAACACAAAAACAAACACAATAGCAGCTGCTTTACCAGGGAAATGCTCTGATTTCAGATGAGCCCCTTTGGCCAGCGCAGGCCTGAGCTTCAGGACATCTCCGAGAAGCAAACTGGCTCAGTGACATGACATTTAGCTGTGAGGAGAGCTCTGAAAGCAAAGAAAGCCTCCTCTCCCCCGCGAGGCACAATTCCGAGTGTCGAGTGAGCGTCAACCACGTGCTAGGAAGGCACTCTATCTCAAAGAATAAAATAGTTGGAATTCATTGTCCAAATAGCATCTAATTACATAGCAAGTCAAATCTCAAGATATTTTATAATAATTAATGTCAACACATAAATAATTGCTACAGAGTAACTGGCAAAAATATCACAAATATGGAAATGGGGATTTTTCTTCTTTTATCTAAAACTGTAATGTTTGAGAGAAACGTAGCACACCATCTCTTAGCAGAGACTGCAAGACACAGGCAGCTACAGTCACCCAATTCCCTCATTCATCTCAGCGGACAGCTTCGTGCTGTATGCTTGCGGACCCGCAGCTCCTCCCGGTCTGGAATTTTCATAAGACCCCAGAGAAAAATTCAGGAACTCCATTGTGTTCTTGGGGTCACCGAGGTCAAGCCCCAGTTGTTAGGAGATTTCCAGTTTGTGGGAGAGTTGGGTAGGAAGAATACCATGGAGAGGGTGGCCGACCATTCTCACCGATGCAGTGAAAAGTCAGAATTGGAAAGAACAAGAGAAATCCTTTAGCCTTCTCCTTTACCACCTACCTGTTTGAAAGATGAGAACATGGAATTCCAATTTTATAGCGGTTTATAGAAATGAGACTCGGATGCTTCCTATATTTTGAAGTTTGACAAACATCGCACCTCTTGCTGATTTAAAAGGACTAGTCATTTGCCGATTGAGGCTGAGAGCAGAATTTCAGTTTCTTAGGAAGAACACACACTTGCTCATCAGAACTAAATAAATCTTTATCAGTGGGTCAGCAAATGTGTGCAGTGAAAATTCCCATGGTTTTTCCTTCTTAATAGTGAGGAGAGAAATTCTGCTTTATTCGTGATTTACAGAAACAGCAGAGCTATGGGCTAGGGTTTTCATGATTTATCTCCTGGAAAACTCAACGACTTTCAAGTAACATTGGGCGAAGGAGAGAGCCTCCGCTCTTGGCAAAGAGAAGCTCCTCTTTGTGTGTGCGCCTTTCTCGGATTCTCAAGGTGACTCATAAGGCATCTCCACCCAGAGTCATGAAATGTTTTCTGCTTGAGAGAGAACAGAGATGTTTAGTGTTCTCCAAGGCATTTAGAGTTGGATAAGGTTAACCGTTTCTGGCAGGGATTGGGAGAATATTCAGCTTCCTAGAAGAAAAGATGCTCACTTTGAGTTTGTCTTTCCTTTTCTCAGAATTCACTTGTAAATTTATATTAGTTTTCTATTCCTTTTGCAATGAATACAGCATTACTTAAAAGAACACTTGCTAAATGACTGTATGCATTTTTAAAATTCATCTATAGAATCTTTGACTGGAAGCAAATGTCCATTGCCTTGTGATTTTAGATGAGGCTCAAAAAATTAACAACCAGGCTGTTATGAGTCATTAAAGAGGGTCCAAATCTTTAGTTAATAATTCATGCTCTTGAATAAATGAAACAAAAGATGACTAAAGAGTAGTCTTTTCCTACAGATAAAAGTCAATTCTATACTCGTCCATTTCTCTCTTCTTCTTCTTCTTTCTTAGTTGGATTTTTACTTTGGGGACCCTTTACCCAAATCTCGGTGGAAGGCAGCTTTGTGTGCTGCATCACTTCAAGACACAAAAGGAAAGAGCACAAGAAATATCGGACTTACATGAATATGTTTTCAGAAAGAGAATATTCCTTTTTAAAATGGAAAAATGATAGGAATATCCCATTATTTTTTAAAGCTGGGTTGAAAAATGTAAAAAAAGCCTTTGGTTTGCCGGTGTCAATTTGAAGCCTTATCAGTCATGGTGGAGTGGCCACATCAGGGTCATTCTCTGGATGCATCTTGTCCTTCCAATGAGGAGCTGCCCTGCTCTAAAACGAAAACTTCTCCTTGATGTTGGAAGAGGGCAGTTCAGAAAGGACAGACAAACTTCTGAGTTCCACAGTCTTTGACTTGAATTGACTTTCTAGAAGTCTTGGGATTTGGCAAAATTTGGTTGTCGAACTTTCCACAATGCTCTCATTTGATTCCCTTGAATATGGTCTGAGGAACTATTTGTCCTTAAATCTGTGCACACAACTCTATTCTGTAAACATGGCATGCAGTGAGAAAAAGGAAAATAAATCCAATTCTCCCTTGGCAGATTTTTGATGCCTTTTAATTCTAACCTTGCTACATATAGACGATTTATGATTCCGTAGAGCTGTCCCTGTTGGGTTGGAAAAAATACAGCTTACCTCACAAATATATTTTATTGCTGCTACCATCTTATCTATTACAAAGCATCCTATCTCACACGAGTTGCTGAGTCACCTGTTCTTAACTAAGAGATGAAAGCTATAAAATCGCTTTAAAATGCTGTGCTAGAAAGGGAAAAAAGGAAAGTCAAATGGTACAGAAGAAAGCACCAGGATGTATAGAATAGCTTCAGTCACCATTCCTACTTCCCTTTAAGCAAATGAGATAGCTCTCAGAAAATCTTTGTCCCTATAAGTGATTCTTACAGATGCAAGTTAAGTGGTTTTACTAAATAAATGACAAACATTCATGAAGTGTTGGATATTCAGGGACCCGTGAGACATATTTAAATATAACCAACACAAATAAGAATGTTGGAGGAGTTTCAATATTATTAACTTATTAGGTAATAAGCATAATACTTTAAGGCTCTGTCTACCTCATTGTTTTACTGTACAACTTGACCTTTGTTTGCCAATCTTCCCCCTATTATCAGTGCAAAAAGACAGCTGGAGAATTGTCCCCAAAATGTATGTGAGAGTAGGATCCACAGGGCAGGCTAGGTTGGAAAAGAAAATTTGAAGATCCAGACCCATAATGAATCATTTCTAGGAATAAGGTCAGAACACAATACATTTGACAAAACTCCTCTGTGTGTGTGTGCATGTGCATGTGCGTGTGTGTGTGTGCGCGCCAATTAAACTTTTGATTGGTATACAACATCGACATGCCATTTTTGTATTATTCATTTGTTCTTATGGAAAAGAAAGGACAATGCATTACACTGACTTCTTCCTGCTCCAAAACCTCGGTCCACGGCCAGCGTCGGGAAGGGGACAGGTCGGAGGGTGAACTGTGGGTGGGGGTATCCACATGTGGGGGATGGAAGGATCCCTGGATACTGGGCACTTTCTAGAGTTGGCACAGGTATGGCACTCACGACAGCTGTAAAAAAAAAAAAAGGGTGTTGAATTTTTAACTTGAACTCTATGTTCAGCTAATAAGCAATGTGGAAATGGCTACATTTTCATATCTTGAAGACTGTGCATACTTTTGTCATTATCATGTACATTTTTTTATTTTCCTCTCTTTCCACAAAACCCTTTTCTAGTTAATTTTTTTAAAACCCACTCCTCAGATATTTTAATTCGGATCATAACCTTGAGTTTTAAAAGCCACCAGGGTCTCAAACAAAAGACTGGCTATCAAGCTACTCTTCAATCATCTTAAGTCTTCCTAGCGCCGTGGCTGTTACATCTTACGTGTTCCTCTTAATGGTGAACCATAACTTTAAAATGTTGACTTGTTCAGAAATCAGATCTATCCCACAGAGGAGACTAAGGAAGTGTTTGGGGATATGTCTTTAACTCTGTTAAAAAATGCATCACTGAACTGTTGACCATGATGCCAGAGTTTTTTCTTGTTTTAGGTTTGCATATAATTAAATCCTGTTATTTTAGTATATATTTTATTGAATCATAGTATAAAAGATTTCTCCCAATGATAGCCAATCTTCATCTTATATCATCATGTAGAATATTTAGTATTTCCTACTTTTTAATAAAAAACAAAATTTATTCCAGCTACTGAAAGAAAGAGTTTAGACATATTTTGTCTCAATGGACACATGGTCAAGTTTGACCGCTGTTTCTATTCAATTGATGTCATTTCAATACATGCATTGTTATTTATTATTCCCTAGTCGCTAGAGTTCAACATGCAAATCCATACACTTCTATTGAATGGAAAGTCCTTTTATGGACCAAACTCTTTATTTCACAATCATTTAATGATACATCAAAATGACATGTTATTATGGCAAATTAATTAATAAGAATAAACACACACACTTGTTGCTTTTTCTAACCTACAAAATAAAAATTAATTATAGTAAACATATGATAATTTAAATAAAACAAACTGATTCTAGTTAACTACCTTTTAAGTTGCCTTTAATATTTACAATATATTTCGTAATGCGTGCTTACATGTTTATTTAATCTAAAAATTAAAGTCAGCCTTTATGAAGTAGAATATTTTATTGATAGGTTTGACAAGGAGAACAGCTAAGTAGGCTAAATGAAATTTTTTTCCATAAATTTAATTAAAAATTATAAATATCGGTAATTCAATACAATAAATGGAATGCAGCCAAGACTTAAGTAATATGTTCCCAATCTTATCTTACTATATAAGTTAATAGGGGTCCAAATGTGGGGGAAAAGAATCTATACATTATAATTATTTTGTAATACTTGATAAAACTTTTTATTGGCGTACCTATTAGAAAAAGAGAAACAAAGCAATTCTAATGAATGAGTAACAAATACTTTTGTAAGACAGGAAGTTTTCAACTTTCTTCTTCCAGCATAATTGAAAAAGAACCTTATTTAGTTGTTGATTGAAATATTATTAAAAATAACTTTTAATGGGATTTCGCAACTTGACTTAGGCAAGTAATTTGTAAGTTGACAAAATTGAGTGATTACTATGACTATTTCATCATTAGGTAAGAACTACTTTTGTGTACATGTAAATAAGATTTCTGTGTTTAGGAAAGAAAAAAGAAAAATCTGGATGCAATTTGTTCAATGAACAGCATTCATTCTTGGATATATGAAAAAAATTGAATAGTCCTGTTAAGTAACCAAATCTCCCAAACTCTTACTTTAGACACAATTATGTAGAAACTGTAATTACATTGACTGAAACTAGGAGAAGAAAAAAATTACAGTAAAAGACTATGGTCATAAGAAAGAAAAACATAAAATAAAATTTTAGTTTATAAATGTTATGTAAATTATTACATAATAACTTATGTAATTTATTATTACATAATAAATGTAATAATATATTTATTAGATTTTTAAAATACATGTCAGAGCCAAGTGAGATATTAACCCAAATAATTGTAAGGTCCTTAAGGGAAAATATATATATAACTATTGTCCTGTGTCTCTCATGGTGCAGTGCTAGCAAGAGACAACCCCTTCAGATTTTCCAAGTCAGAAATAGCAAGCAAGATTTTAAGAAAGGGTTTTTAAAAAATCTCTTTCTAAATGCCTTGGCACTTCTAAATTAAAGCACCCAAAATACATAAGTCAAACTTTAACAGACTTGAAAAGAGAGATAACTCCACTATCATGGTAGGAGAATCTCATACGCCACACTTCTGATGCAGGATAGAATAACTAGATAGAAACTCAACTAAGTTACAGAACATTTGAACAACACAATCAACCAACTAGGCAGCATAGATGTATCTAGAACACTCCTCCTAAGAGCACAATGTACCTTATTTTCCAGGACACATTAGGTCACAAAGCAAGCCTCCATAAATGAAAAAAACATTGAAATACTCTAAATCACCTTTGCAGACACAATGGACAACCAGAATGTTCCTTAGAAGTGAGAATGGTGAGAAACACGCTTTGGACAGGTTATCAGGAGAGACCAGTCCTTGGAAAAGGACCTCGTGCTGAGAAAAGTAGAGGGTCAGCTAAATGAAGCCGACTCTATGTGAAATGGATTGAGTCTGTTGCCCAGAGGGGTGCTGTGTTAGTCTGGGTAGCTTAGAGAAACAAACCCCAGAAACTTGTAAATGTAGAAGAGAGAGCTTTATATAAAGGGTGAGTGTCTCTACTAACATGGTGCTATGAGCTGGAATTGGCTTGATGGTTCCTAGTGGCAACAGCACTAGAAGAAATGGACACATTTCTAGAAACACACTCCCTCTCCAGACTAACCCAAGCAAGGTAGATGATCTGAGCAGACCCAGGACAAAATAAGAAATTGATTACATCATTAAAATCTCCCAACAAAAAAAGTTTGGACCTAAACATTTTGAGAATAGCCAAAACCAATTCTATTCAAACTATTCCAGAACACAAGATGGAATACTTCCAAACTGATTCCACAAACTAAGCATGACACTAACACCCAAACCAGCAGAGATCCCTACAAACGATTATAGACTAATAACCCTCATGAAACTTGATGCAAACGTTCTCAGCAAATCCTATCCAACAGAATCCAACAACTTACCAAAAAGAGAGAAACAGTATATCATGATAAAGTGGGTTTTATAACCTATGTGCAAATATGTTTTAAACTTAGAAAAAAATCAACATAATCTACCACAGAAATCAAACCAATGAACAGAATCACGTGAGCAAGTCAATTGGTATAGAAAGAGCATTTGAAGAAATCCAATATCTAATCATGTTTAAAATACTCAACAAAATAGGAATAGAAGAGAAATCCACAACATAATGATGAGCATTTATACAAAACCATACATAATCCTACAATAATCATAATAGTAATACTCTATGAATTGATACATAGATAAGTCAATACTTAATGAGCAAGGGTAAGAAGGCAAATGGTACTATATCCATGGATATATATATATATATATATACAGGTCTGACAGAGGACATTTCTTTGTATGTATTTTTATGTGCTTTAATTATCCCACGAATATCGTAGCACATATCAGATACAATTATGGAAACTCCTTAACTATAACTAAACACTTAGAATGAATAAGGTGATGGGCTTGGAGATGGGGTCATACTCTTGGGAGGCATTAAGGTCAATTGGAGTAACATAGTTCACAAAGATCATGTTGCACATCCTACACCGGCAAGTCGCAATGGGGTCTGAAACACTTGTTAGCAGCCATCCAGGGTGTAACTATTGGTCTCCCCTGTCTGGAGAGTGAAGACAATAAAAAACAAAAGGAGCAATTAGTCCAAAGGTCTAATGGACCACCTGTATCTCCGCTTCCACCACACGGGGACCTGGAGATCTCTAGATGGTGCCCCGCTACCATTTCTGACTCCTCTGCAAACGATAACAATAGACAGTCCTACAAAGAATGGGAAAAGAATGTGGAACCGAATGTAGAATGATTTTTCTTAATCCAAGCAAACAAAAAACAAGGTTTACTGTTTCAGTGCAGACTGATGAAACACATGAGGGTATGTCCCTTAAATCCCCTTCAAGCTTGGAATTCAAGCCATCCTGTGGCTCAACTTTTAGTTAAATGATAGGCAGGTGAACCCAGGAGGTACTTACTAGGAAAATCAACCACATGAGATCCAAAAGGTAGCATTTTCCAGGGATAAAGCTCAAAGGTGGAAAGGGACAGGTGAGACGGACAGAAGGAACTAGACAACAAAGAGCAAAAGTAAGAAGGGTGTCATTGCAGTATGGAGGTGGCAGTCAATGCTACAGAACTACATATGTATGAATGATTGAGTGGAAAGCCAATCTGCTTCATAAACTTTCACCGGACTCCAAATTGAAAACATAAACAACAACAAAATGATCATTGTTTACATCAAAAGATTAATCTAACCATATCATTACCCTTAATTAGAGGAGAACACCCCAACTCAACGTGGCACCTTTCTTTATCCACATCATTTCTGAACCTTAGCAGTGCATCCAAAGACAAGCCTGGCAATACACGTCTCAAAGGTGGCAGCCTTGCCAGCCCGAGAGAGCAGTTCTACTCTGCGTACATGGAATGGCCGTGGTTTGGGGTTGACTTGATGACAACTAGCAACAGCAAATAAAAAGGCTTTGTAAGACATTTCGAGAGCTTCATGAATGTTTCCTTGCGGAGAGATGAATGAAGCTGGATGGAGCAGTGAGCAGTACTTTGCCCAGCCACTGGATCTATATGTTAGAGACCCGAGACCAAGTTTCGATCTATTCCAGTTCCAAGTCTTTCATTACTAAAGAGAGAAATGTTGCTATCAAATAGCTCTGCATTTTGGCTACTGACCTAGGTCCAAAGAGTTTCCAAATAATAACATTATTGTTAAAAATAATTAATTTATTGTATGTGTCTATGTCATGGTTTAAATTGTGCTCGCCCTGCCATCACCCCCCCAACACCCCCAGGCCCCCCCAAAATCTGTGTCAATCTGGCT